CATTTCAGTTATTTAGTTGGACAATACAGTAGAATGGCTTATTGTTTACTGCCACAGCAGCAAACACATTTCTGTTGGTGTCTGGCTGAAACATGGGCTAATACATGATTTCAGATTTAATAGAGTCAAGGTCTAGCACAAGCCAATAATTCAACTGCTGAAAAGCTGTAGTCTATAACAGACATTACTATTCTGCTTAAAGCTTGCTTACTTGTCAAGCACCTTTGTTCAATACAGTGTTCCTTCTGTGGAGAGCAACTCAAAGAGATGCTTGTCATAATCTTATAGAGGCCCAAAGGATCATGTGATTTTTCTATACTAAAAAATAATTGTCATTGCATAGATGATAAAGATACAGAAGCGCCTATAGCAGCATATAGCCTATGGCAGACGGTGGTCCAGATGCAGACCTAGCAGAGTATTTCAGTAGCCCAAACTGAGTATTTGGAAAATTACTCCAGCAGAGCCTAATAAAATATGAAAAAACTCCACGGCTATACAAGTTTTCTAAACGTGAACCAGGGCTGCTTCTGTAGCAGATCCTATGTTGTGGCTTTTTTTGTAAATTATTTATCTGAAGACAGCTACAGGGCTCAAGACATTAGGTCAGAAAGGGGAGAGTTTTCACAGACTTTCATGGATATTTCATTTTATTTACCTTCTCTGGTCTGATTAGTGAACTGACTGCATGGTTTCTTTAAAAAAAAAAAAAAAAAAAAAAAAGCTGATGACAAAAACAGAATGTGTGAAGATGAATGGACAGACATGTCTCATCTGTCCATGGTGCTAGTCAAAAGTGGTAACCTGAAGCACCACTATGAAACAATTTATCTAATTTATAGCCATAAACTAATCATTAATGGTTAGGAATTAAAGGGTAAATGCTGCCGACGCTCAATAATATTAGTTGCTTATGCGGTCTTTGGTAAGCAAGGAATTTTATGTAACTGGACCTGGACAAATTTTTGTCATATAGTTTAACCCTCATGAAAAATATTCAAATTTTCATGTATCCATGCTCTAGGTTTGGTAAATCTGTGTTACCTGACTGCATTTGCATATTAGAGCATGATAGGCTCTTATATTTTATGATGTAATAACCCTTCTGGGGAGCACATTATTTGTATTTGCAACGTCTGCCTGTTTCTCTAAAATCTTACGACATTAGTACAGAGGTGCAGAGACCCCCCCCCCCCCCCCGCCCCCGCCCCCCCCCAGCGCTGCAGTGAGATAAAGGAAGTAGGATTTAAGCTGATATGACCTTTACTCCATGCTGTTAAGTGCGTTTGGGTACTTGCACGCTGTGGTGATGTATTGTGATGTAGTGCATGGATTTGCCAGCAGTGGAGTGTAGAAGTGTTATACCAAATGGGACACTCCTGATGAATTCTTTTCATTGTCTGACCTCAGTTTGATCAATTAAAGCATTCGTGCTGTTGGTCTCTGATACACATTAGGCTCCTAGTTATCAAAAGTGTAATATATAGACAATATTGGATACTGCAAGAAAACCAGTTTATGTTTTTGTCTGTTTATGTGGGGTGTCTGCCATACAAGTCCCTGCGCAAGTTGTTACACTCACAGATGACTTTATTAGGAACACATGTACACCTGCTGTTTCATGCAATTCCTGCATCCAAGACCAGGAAAAAGACCAGGAGATGTTTTTACAGTCTTCAAATGTCCAGTTTCTCTGAGTCTGTGGCCAGTGTAACCTCAAATTCTTGTTTTTGGCTGACAGGAGTGGAACCTGATATGGTCTTCTTCTCTTATAGCCCACCCAGCTCAAGGTTCAGTGTGCTGTGCATTCTGAGATGCTTTTCTGCTTACTGCGGTTGTAAAGAGTGCTAATTTGAGTTATCAAAGCCCCCCTGTCAGCGCGAACCAGTCTGACCATTCTCGTTTGATCTCTCTCATCAACAAGGCATTTATGCCTGTAGAACTACAGCTGTTTTTAATTTTATTTATTTATTTATTGATTGCATCATTCTGTGTAAACTCTAGCAAAAGTCCCAGGAGATCAGTTGTGTGTGAAAGTCCCAGGAGATCAGCAATTTCTGATACTCAAACCAGCCCCTCTGGCACCAAAACCTTGCCATGGTCAAAGTCGCTGAGATCACATGTTCGATGTGAATATGAACTGACCTGCATCTGCAGTTTATGCTTTGTACTGCTGCCACGTGATTGGATATTCTCTGATTAGATAACTGCATGAATGAGCTGGTATACAGGGTGTTCTTACTAAAGTGGCCAGTGAGTGTGAGAGCCTGTGATGAAAATCGAGAATACAATGGCATACTATGCATTTTATTAAAGTAATATGCATACTTTAATATCCTAAACAGCATCCTACACAATAAAGTTACTTGTTAATTTACATAATGATCGTGGTTCCTGCAGTGCAGTGCCAATGCAAACCTTCCAGGAACTGTATAGTTCTTGTTCAGAACTCTTTTGCTTCTTAAAAGGTTCAAGGTTATTGATAGAAATTTGCCTTTTCAATGATTTTTTGCTTTAGTGATTTGGGGTGAAGTATTCCTTTAACTTAGCTCATAAGTTTTTAATTAGACTTTCCTCTTGGCCTGACACAGTGGAGGACCATGACAGAGCACAGCTGAGAGGGGACTGAGCGTGATGCATGGCTGTAATTCCACTGCAGGAATGTGGAATCGGGTGCAGCATAGCCCCGGTAGCCCCCTGGGGGGTGATGTGTGTAGCGGTATCCCCCATCAACCTCATCACACCATACACACACACACACACACACACACACACACACACACACACACACACACACACACTGGCGTGGTGGGAGGGGGCAGAAAGAGTGCAGCAGAGAGGAGGGGGAGGTGGGCTGAGGACTGGCTTTTGTCTGCTTCCCACGTTTCAAAGCCAGTCTTGAAAAATGAATAGACAGAGGAAAATCAATTGCATGACCTTCACACGAAGTGAGAGAAAGAGCGAGAGAGAGAGAAAGAGCGAGAGAAAGAGAGCGAAAACTGTGGAAAGATAGTTAAGGATGAGATCGGGGGGACGGTAGATGAGGAAGATAAGAGGGAAAATATTGTCTAAGATGTATAGAATTCTGTTTGTTGATTTCACTTTACACATATGTCCATGTGGATATTTGTTTATATATAGATAATAAGATTCTGATTCAGGATACAGTGTCTCTGTTGTCAAAGGCAGCTCCAAATACATGAAGTCATTTCTCAAAGTGAAATATTCACATTAAAGTCCCAAACAAGTATAAGCTTATCATACGAATTGCTATAAACTGTATTTTCCACGCTGCTCTGATTAGCTGAAAACACAGTTTTCACATTGTGTGTGCTGGTGTCACTCTTGTATATAGCATAAAAGTCATAGAATAGAATAGAATAGAATAGAATGGATAGAAAATTGTATGTTTTATTTCTTGGTGTATTTCTTTATTTTGTATTTGCAAGAAGAAAAAGCATAAAATGCCCACAAACTATACACCACACTTTGATATGAATGAACCAAAATAACATAAAGATTTAGAAAGAACAGATAAAAGAAATAATCGGTCCATTTAGAGTGAAAAGAGTGAAACTCACTTCTCAAAAGGATCTTTACTCTTATTTCAATTCAGGTATTTTGTGTGCATCACATACAACGCTCCGAAACTGTGGCGGTAAAAAAAAATTCCACCTGATCACACGGTTAACTAGTGTAACCCTGAGAGAGGACATCCCTCCAACCCTTCCTCATCCTCTATTCATTCCTTTAAATCCGCCTCTATCTTTAGTTTAGACTCTCCACTATACAGCAGTCTACAATTTTGCAATTTGTGTATTGATATCTAGTAGTACTATTGGCTGGTAACCTGTGGCTTTTCTTCATAAAGAAAACCATCAATAACCATACTTTCTTCGGCTCGCATGCAACATTTGGACGAATTTGAAGTTGATTTCAAACAAATGGAGTTAGAAGAAAAGACAGGTTGTTCTGACACTCACAAATTATAGCAATTTTCACAGAAGCATGTAATATTACAAATGTAAGCTTGGACTTACATTTTAACTTACAATAATTTGCATGAAATATAACATAACCCCACCACATTCCCTTGAAATCAAAAAGGATACAATGGACTGTCTCTTTTTTTTTCTTTTTTTTTTTCCTTATACATTACATTGTATATAGAAAATTACATTTGGACTTTTTTCTCATCTTGTAACTGATAGAAAAATTGGAAATGAAAAAAAAAAACTAATAGAAAAAACTCATTAGTGTTTCTCCTGAGTAGGTCAAAGGTCTGTTACTGATTTTCAGTTATATCCCTTTTTATTCTCAAAAAAAACCTGTAGGGAAATTTTTACTTAGAGCTTAAGCACTGTGTGAAGTGTTTTACGGAGTCTTATCGGTTTGTAATGAGAGTGAACTCTAGTAAAGTGTGATTAAAGTTTAAATGGCTTAGTAAGCTTTGGAAATTGCCTGCCTTCCAGTGAACGTTCATGAAGCACTTAAACCTTTTATGTCACACATTTAGCCTTTTTAAAGCTGCATACATTTACATTAGCACATACCTGTGCACAAAAAAGTGCACAAAAATGCTTTAACATGCCTTCCATAAAATTAAATGAACCTACTGTGAAACCAGCAGCCTTCTTGTAATCTTAACTGATCCCGCTTTTTATATTTTCAGTAGAATACCAATAACAGAGCTCTGAACATCAGCTGATAGCCAATACTGATCTGATACTGACACCCTCTTAGTGAACCTGAGTGAGTCGACTCCCTATATTTTTTAAAAAAGTGAAGTGAAGTGTAACCAAGTATGGTGACCCAATTCGTTCTCTGCATTTAACCCATCCAAGTGTGCGAACACACACACACAGCAGTGGGCAGCCTTTTTTGCTGTGGCTCCCAGGGAGCAGTTGGGGGTTCTGTGCCTTGCGCAAGGGTCTCACCTCAGTCGTGGTATTGAGGGTGGAGGAGAGTGCTGGTCATTCAGTCCCCCCACCTACAATCCCCGCTGGACCTGAGACTCGAACTCACGGCCTTCAGGTTCACCTTCAGATTACAATCTGACTCTCTAACCATTAGGCCATGACTGCCCGTAATATATGAGCTTCTGTTGCTGAGTTATGACAAAGGCGACAAGCTGTAAAGCAATTTATGTCCTATGTTCAAGTGTAAGACCAGTGTCATGTTAATCAATATCATATGCAGTTTGGAAAATATGTCAAACCAATTAACAGTCTGATTTCTGATAGTATAAGCTCAGTTCATCACTAATTTTACCAATTTAATGATTTGTGTTATAATCGCAATGACATTTCATCACTCAGCCGTGCATCATGTGGCAGAGCCTAAAAGCTCTGCTATTAAGGCTCTGATCGAAAGGTTGTGAGTTCGAATCCAAAGACTGAAGAGAGCCGCTACTGAGCAAGGCCTTTACTCCATGACTGCTTGGATTGTATCATCTCTCACGTTTTCACGCTCACAAGTTGGTACTCTAGGAAAACCCATCGAATGTTGCTGTGACTGAATTCTGGAAAACAGCCAAAATATACAAAAACATGTGCTGTCGTGAAATTGACATAAGCCTAATCAATTCCGTTTGTAATCAGATACTGGCTGTGTGTTGCAGTCGAAATAGAATCTTCAAGTGCAATTTTCTCCCATTTGAGGGTAACATGATTTTAAAATGTTATAACTTATATATAGATATAGATTTTGGAAGGTGGCTGTGGGGATTTGTGTTTGTCAGAAATTGGACAATATTGTGCTTCCAACTTTGTGGCAACGGTTTGGGGAAGACCCACGTACGGGTGTAATGGTCAGATGTCCACATGCTTTTATCCATAAAGTGTAGTAGAAAAGCCACCGCACACATAAATGTAGTCTGACAGACTCCACCTTGAATTACTACTTCTAGGCAATATAAAAAGATTGTACTTTATTAAAATTGATTCATTTACCACAGCCAGCTGTAGCACCTTGCATCCTGGTGACGTTTTTTCATATACAGGCCTGAAGCTGTATATAAGTGCCTGAGATACGCTTTGGAATGCTCAGAATATTGAGCGTGAGTTTGATTGTTTAATCTCACTTTGCTCCTTGAATGGACTTTTCCTTTCAGTCTCTCTGTGCTGTTGCTGACTTACATCCTTTCCCTCCTCATCCATACTCCACCCCCCACCCCCCAACACACACACACACACACACACACACACACACACACACACACACACACACACTTTAGATGCCCGTCTTCCCCTAATGCTTAGCGTTTAAAGTGGCAAAGGCTTTTAAGGGACGTTAATTGCACTCAAATTATGTTCGACCGCAAGAGGAGTGAGTTTACGATGGAGAGAGAGAGAAAGAGGGGAGGGCACGAAGGGTGGCTGAATGAAAGCATAATTGCGCCAGAGAAGGACGTTGTGACTAGAGTCTCCCTCGCTCTTTCTCTTTCTCTCTCTATCAGTCTCTTTCTGTCCCTATAGTGGGGGTGGGTTGGGGGAGTTTAGGGCATAATGAGCACCTCCCTGTGAAGAAGTTGCCAGGGGATCATCCTGCGATTCCTATCAGCCAACTAGATTGAGCAAACTTAAGTGAAATAAAAGGCCAGTGTCACAGTTCCCATAGTAACCTCCTAACTTGGTTAATAGGATCTGGGCTAGAGGAAGGGTGAGAGACTGAGAAGGAGAAGACAAAGTCATATGGAACAGAAGAAAGGAAAGAACATGAGGAAAAAAGAAAATTCACTATGGTTTACTATAATTTTACTGTGGTTTTTAGGTTAGGTTGTTACATATTTAACAATGATGTTGTCATATCTTATTGGTAACGATTTTTTTAAAATCGTGACATAGCCACTTTATTTTTGTTTTTATATTAACTGTTATGTTACTCTTGTGACACTACCACAGTTTGCTGTGTTGCCATGGCCAGTAAAAAAAAAGCAACAAAAGTTGCATAAATTCTTGTTTATTATTTATGTGATGTTTTCAAATTAAAATGCAATAACATGTTTATTAAGTAAATTACAAAAGCTTATTTAGTGTGGCGTATGTGGTAAAAAGTACCATAGCTGTGATATATTATACACACTTCATATCAAAGCTTTCTGCATCTCTACCCATATTTCATTAATGTTTTAATCAGTTTTGGTTGTGTTTACTATAGTAACAAATCCATGTTTTTCTTTTATTTAAAAAATTATATAAATAAAAACATTGTTCATTTCAAGACAAAGCTACTTTAAAGTTGAACCATCCTAATCCTCTTCCTCATCATCATCATGGTGATTCCTCATCATCATCATTGCCTCTATTGCTGGTTGTCTTTTGGTAAACAGAGACTCATCCATCATGTCAGCTTTCACGACTTATCCTCACCTCTTTATTTGTTATGTTAAGGCAGCATTGCTCATAGCCACAGCCCAAACTGTGTGTTTAGATCGAGGGTGTCTGAGAGCCAGAATGGGAACAAGTAGTGCTCTGTATAGCACACCCCTCTGTACACACATCGAGGTTATCCTGGCCTGGGTGTGAAGCCCCCTTTTGAGGCCTCTGAAAGGACCAGACTCATTGATATTCCTGTTCTTGTTTGAGGAGGGGAACATCCCACTCTGACACTATGGCTTTGTCCGACAGTCGCTCCTGTGCTGTATTTAGGAGTATGAATGTGCATCTGCGTGTGTGTGTGTGTGTGTGTGTGTGTGTGTGTGTGCGCGCATGTGTGCATGAGACATCCTATCTTGTAGCAAAGAAAATATTATAAATGCCAGAGGTATCAGGGAAACAGCAACATTGTCACACTGCAGAAGTACACTGTCATCCTGCACTTTGGAATAGACACACAAACACACTCACACACACACACACACGTCCCATTACACCACCTGCTGTGAAAACAGAAGCAAAGACAGAGCTAACACACTGTAAATGAAAGGAGATGCTTGCTTGTAAATGTTACTTGTCTGATTTTCCAATTTGTTTGCAGTGTCATGACAGACACCCCACTGCAGCAGGAGGCTGAATAAGCGTGTGTGTTTGTCATCTCCGTTAACCACACTGACTCTGAAATACTTTATCTTAGATATCCCACTGTGTGACATACAATGCAGATGCTCGGTTATCTAGAACAGTGGTTCTGTTATCTAGAAAGTGGGAATTGAAGACCCCCAGGAGACTGTGACATAATGACAGGGGTTTTGACATTATTATTATTATTATTATTATTATTATTTCATTATTTTAAATGATGTGATGATGGTGGACATCTATCATAGTTACAGATATCATTTAGTTATTATAATTTAATTTTAGTGCTGTTAATACTCTTAGTTTGAAACAAATGCTTGGAATCTACAATTTATTCCATTTTGTTTGGGGTCTGCTGGTGAAAAGTTCAGGAATAAAAAGCTCTTGAGTGAAAATTTAAGGAAACATCCTTTCATACATTTATACTTTTATATTTTGTAATCAAACATAGTTAATCACTTTAGTTTAGTGACCTCCTCCTCACCCAGTTCTGCCAGATCTTCTGATTTTTTTTGTAGTCCTTGTGTGAATCTTAGGGGATAGTATATGTGATCGGATCAGGTATGCACTCCTCGTCATGAGAGTCTAAAAGTAGGAAAAGGGGAACCTAAGCTGGACAGGAGTTCCTTAAACTTGTTGGGGCCCAGAACATTTGATGCTGTTTTAGGTATGAGTACGATCATGATTTAACTTGATACAAAGCTAAGATGTAAGAGAGGGTTTATAAAGATTTTTTTTTTTTTGCCGTTAACTTTTCATACTCTACATGATGTGTAAATGTACTTCCTTTATATGAGCAAATAAAGTGACGTCCACTGCAGCTGAGCTGTGCCTGTTCTCCAACAAGCTCTGCTGGCTCTCTGCTGGCTCTGTTAAATAAATACTGTTATACATATTTCCCTAATGTCATTTATATTCGAATAGTTTTATTTTCTCTTCTGCTATTATAACAGGGTCCATGAATATTTTACATCAAAAGGGGTCCTTGCCAGCCTTTGCTCTAGAACATACTGTAAGAAGTTTAGCAGCATGTCATCTACAAGTTTGCAGTTTGTTTTTGGGAAATTTTATCTGCAGAGGTGGGAAATAACAAAGTACAATACAAAGTACAATACGTGTTTTACAGTCTTTTTTTTAATGGAAACCCATTTCTGCAAGGAAAAGAAAAAAAATATAATTTTTTGTTTATTTTTGGGAGCAGCAGGACTTATTATCTCATAGTTCTGACTTATTATCTCATAGTTCTGACTTAGTATCTCATAGTTCTGACTTAGTATCTCATAGTTCTGACTTAGTATCTCAAGATTTTGACTTATCTCTGAATTGTGCCATATGATGATAGGTCTATGAAAATAAAGAATATACGTTTTCTACATACTATTCAATAAATCCTATTCAGTTAGCTACATCACTTCCATTCTTTGTGCGAATGGAAGGTAGAGCCAAGTGATCTGAAGATGGGATCAGAGGTTAGGGGCTATCACCTATTAAGCAGTCACAAACATTTCTTCTAACATATTATTTGGCAGTTAGGAAAATATAAAATTCAACATAAATCGTTATTTCGGTATGCCAGGTCAAAAGAATTGACATAGTTATACATAATCTTGAGATAATAAGTTAACGTTTTTAGATAATAAGAAGAAATTCTGAGATAATAAGTTGAACTTTTAAGATAAGTCATTTTTAGATAATACATCAGAATTTTGAGATACTGCTTTGAAATTTTAATAAAATAATTCAGGATTTTGACATAATAAGTCAAAACATTTGACAGACACAAGCTTGCAGTAATAACTGAAAGAAAATGTTTGAGATAATAAGACAAGATTTTGAGATAATAAGGCATTTTTTGATAAATCAGAAATTGGATAGACTATTTAAAAATGTTAAAATAATTCAAAATTTTGAGTTCAGAATTTTGAGATAATAATTTGAAATTTTGAGATAAGTAAAAATTGTGAGATAAGTCGATCATTTGGGATAATAAGTCAAAATTTTGAGATAATAAGTCAAACAATTTACATACTTCTGCTGCCAAAAATAGTTTTAAAAGGAAGGTATGC